AGGATTTTGCCTGAATTTTTTTTTTTTTGCTCAGAAACTGGACTAGGTGACTGGGGTTTTGCTTATTACTTATTGTCAATTGAAACCATTTGCCTTTTACATGGGATACTACACCCTCCCTCCCGTGTCAGTTTCTTACCAAATTCCCAGAAAGAAATCTTGATGTCTGCATTTTCATTCCTCACTTGCTGGAAGGTCAAGGATGTCACATTACTCCAGACGGTGACTGCATCACGCATAATGTCTTTCACCGTGGATGGATTCATGTCTTTTGGGTAGTTGATAATACTGAAAGAAGAAATCTTTTAAGTGCAATAGCTTAGATGTATGGGAATTATCCCAGCTCTAAAAAGGAATGACTCTGCTTGGGGATAAATCAATTAAGTTCCAGACAAACCAAATAAAAAAACCCAAGGAATTAAACCTGCAAAATACAGATTTCTAAAAATGTTAACCAATTACCCACATTATTCTTATGTAAACTAAAGTCTGAGAACCACAGCCTCACAGTGTAATTGTGAAAAAAAAATCAGTGTGAACTCATTTGAAATTCACAGCCTTCCACAAAGTTCAGTATCGCTTTGCTTTGGATGTCTGCAATATGCTTGGGATCCGAGTAGGAAGAGTAACCTAGATGGGGAGCAAAAACACACTAACACTATACACTCTAAACACCCTCCCCCCGGCCTCCCTCCCACACACACTGAAGAAGGGAGGAGGTTAGGGAGAGTAGGAAAAGGAGAATTGCTCTAAGGGAAGAATAGTGGATTCATAACCAGAGGATGGCAGTCAGACTTCACTTTCTAAAGAGGTGATCTGAGGAGGTTGGAGTGAGAACTGGTAGAAGTGCCTTCTGTGAGGGAGACTGGGGGTTTTGGAAAGACTGCCAGGTAAAGCAGAGGACAGGAGAGATGCCTCCAGGAGGGACACTGTAGGAAGTCCTTTGAGAGAAGCTCCCCACTCATGCTCCAGGCCTTCAAACACCTGTAGGTCAGAGTGTGCTTTTTCCATTTAGAATTTCTGTGAAAATAGGAGTCATTAGCCCCATCAGCCACTCCACAGTGGGGCTCTTTCAGAAACTCTGGCATCTGCTTTCTCAGTAGGTCTGTCTCTTCCTGGCGGAACTGCTGCAGGAGCTGTAACTGTTCCTCTTGGGTAAGCAGTGGAGACTCTTCCTTGTTCAGGAGAAACTGATGGATATAGTCCTGGGTAAGAGACCAGGAAGGGATGAGTATTAGAGATAAAAAGGGTGAACTTCCAGGACCAGCAACCCAGAGCATTTCCTCACTGAGGACCTGGGAAAGTGCTTGTCTAGCTGGCCTTCTTAAAATCCCAAATGTCTCTGTCAATTGATAGCAACTATCCCTGATTCTCTTATCACTGGGAAATTAATATTACACATGGGTGACAGAATGAAAGTGACCTAGATAATCTGTTAAAAATTCTCCAAAAATAAAGCATCCAAGTTTCAGGGTAGAGGGGCCCACGAATAAAGATTATGAAAAAGTATTAGAGGAGAATTGCCCAAGGAAGACGATCTTGGGTCTTTTTGACTGATTTAGGTTTTCTCAGTCAGGACAGAATCTGACTGCTTGGGCAAGACTGTGGCCGTTCTGCATACACAGTCCATTTAAATTTATACCTTCCATTCCATTATGAACTTTTAAAAAGCTCATCCACCACCTACTCCCTGTCTCTATTGACTTTCTTGCCAGTCTGGCACACTGAATTTCAACTTCTGAAGAAAAAATAATAGCACCTTTTATTATAGTCAGGATTTCTGTGTCAATATTTGAACTCTAACTGGACTGAAGCACTTTAAGGGCAATGCTCATGCCTAATCCAACTTGGTCTATACCACAGTTCTCATGATAGTACTTGATATAAACCCATAACTGTATAAAATTGCTTTTTTATGCCTTTATTTTATTGTGACCTTGGCTGGACATTCAGAGGCATATGACTTACCATATTTTTCTGGGTTAAGTGTTAGCAGTAAATTCTGCCAAGTCCCTGAACCATTGTAAAGTATTTGACTAAAGCCAGTTATAAGGAGTTTCAGGTATTTGGGATGCTTCAAAGGATTGTAACAAATTTTCAGTTTCTTGAGGACTTTGAAAATATGTGATAGACAGTTTGAGAGATTTCTCAGTCAGGAGGAAAGACATTTATTAGGTCACCTGAATCATTTCCCTGGATCCTTAGCCACCTAACAGACTCAGAGATCCAGATACCTGAGAGTCCATTCCAAGACTTATAGGAGGCTAATAGTGCACTGAGGCTGAATTAGGCATTACCACAATAAATACCACCCTTTTATGGGCCATAAAATGATTTAATTACTTTTAAAATCAGAAGAAAAAGAAATGAACTTATAGATTGAAGAAAGTGATATGAAAGGCAATATTAATATATTTGTCTGTATACTATGCAGTAATGTGTAGGCATATAACACATATGAAAAACAGCCTGCAATAGTCCTAATGTGATGTTATGGTCCTACCTTAACGACATCCAGTCCTTTAGGGTCTGCAGAAGGCGGCACTGGGAGCGCCAGACACCAAGGCAGAAAAATAGCAGCTTTTAAGATGGCAGGCGCCATGGCAAATGCTCCTTTGTCCCTCTGCCTGAATCCATGCACCTAACATTGGCCTTGGGGCCTTTATAGCCAGGCCGGCAGTGTCCAGTGACTCACACTGCTAGCCTGTCCTTTCTTTGAATCGGTTGGTGTCGTCATTGCCCCTTCTGGGTTGACAGAGTGGTCAGCCTGCCAGGGCGATGAAAGCAGCCATGGGACTTACTTGCATGTTTATTTTACACCTGATGGTGCTCAGGATATTTGCCCATAGTCTTGGCCAAGGAAACACTGATATACCTCAGGTTAGAGGCTTTTATTATTTAAAACATGGAGAGGAAAAAAAACGAAAAGCAGAGACCCAGGAATAATTTATTACAGCTTTACCTATATAACCATTTCTTTCCTAATCACAGACAACTACTACTTTGCCTCAGAAGCTAAAAGGACAAGAGAGAAAGAAATTGTGGAAGGGGAGACCCACTATAGTGAAGACCTAGATCAGAATATGAAAAATATGAGACCCATATAGGAGAGATTTTGGAATACACAGGAAGAGAAAGTTGCCAAAAACATGTTTTAGAAAATAAATCATTGATAGTAAGTTGGAGAGACACAGTGTGGATAAAATGAGGGTTCCTGTGGCCAGGATTCTCACCTGGCCCTGGTTGACTAGCTCACTGCATACCTGTGGGCAATACATGGCTGTTGACTCTATAAAAGGAGCTCCACCCAGTGCTCTGGGTGCGACATGGTGGCAGGGCTGCATGGTTGCAGGAGAGCAGAGCAGAGGCAGGAGTGGTGGCAGTGCAGAGGACAGAGGCCCAGAGGACAGCTGTGAGGGACGACTGTGCAGAGAGGCCCAGATGATGGCTATTCAGGATGGCTGTGCAGACAGAGGGGTCCAGAGGCAGAGACTGGCTTGCTGCATGCAGACTTGCTCTGAGTGAATGGGATTCTAGTGACTGACCTGCCACCTGGAAATAAAGTTGAGTATAACCCTTTCACCCCAAGAACGTTTTGCTGTCATTTTCTTTGGTCACACTGAATCCATAGCAGACTTGCCTGGGGCTGAAACCCACTGGCAAGACACACAGAAGTATATGTACACAGCATAAGGTTTCAGCTAATAGCCTTTGAAATCACACAGGTATAGGTATGAATGTTAACTCTGTTCTTTAAAAGCTGATCTGCTAACAAAACAAAACAAAACAAAACAAAATAAAATAAAATAAAATAAAATAAAATAAAATAAAATAAAAAAGCTGATCTGCTTTAAGCAAATTTTTAACGCTATAAGCCTTTTTCTCTTTATCAGTAAATTAAGGAAAGGAATCACCTTCATATAATATGACAGTAGTGGAGATGGGAACGCTGGATCTGGTATACAGTAAATCGCAATTGACAAGAGTTGCTTTGTAATTATTATTGCATTCACACAGACATACAATAATCATAAAAATTAAGTATGTGTACTGTGTCAAGAATACACTATTTCGCTTCATCAACACAACCATTTGTGAAGTAGTTTTGTTACTTTTCACCTTATATTTAAGAAAATGAGGCTTTTGTATCATGACAATCACAATGCTCAAAGGGATGTATAGAAGTGACAGAGTGTTTTACTCTGAAAGCAGAACATTTAATCACTGAACTGGACTGTTGATTTCAAAGAGATTGCTGCACCCCTTGGGGGCCACACATTGCGGGCATTCCCAGGGTGCACCATGCAATCTGATAGGGCAGACTTAGATGACCAGCCACCTGTAAGACTGACCCAGTACTCAAGTAAATGAGTGCCAGATGCTAAGGCCTAGCTTACCTAAGTAAATGAGTGACTTATTAACAATTCAGCCACACATAAGAAGCACCTGTTGGAAGTTTAGCAGTGTTTCTTAGAAAGTGATGTGGATGTGGATATGAATCACCTGGGGATGTTGTTAAACATACAGATTCTGATTCAGTAGGTTTTTGATGACCTAATATTTTGAATTCCTAATAAGCTCCTAGGTAATACCAGTGCTATTTGTCTGAGGCTCATACTTTTTGAGCAGTTAGATGTTGGGGGTGTTGAACATGGAGAAGCTATAATTTCAACCAGTTTTCAAGAACAGCAAATTTTACATTTTATTTTACAAATGAAGAGCTATGAGAAAAATAGGAGCCCCTGTTGGCTCCCCTTCCCAACTATACTTTCACCCTTTTCATTGTTCCCATCTGATGCCTGGGGCTGAGAAGTCTGGCTTATACCCAAAACCTTTTCCAGTGAGTACAAATTGTTTCCCAGCTCCTTCTGAGTAAACTACCTTGCTGGCAGGAGAAAAAGCATTTTCAAAATACAGCAATGTATTGCCTTCCCTAATGTGGGTGGCCCTCATCCAACCAGCTGGAGGCCTAAATAGAAAAAATGACTGATCCTCCTAGGAGTAAGAGAAAACCCCTCCTGCCTGCCTACCTTGAGCTGGGACATAGGTTTTTTCCTTATTTTGGACTCCACATGAACCACTGGCTCTTCTTGGGTCTTGAATTTGCTTGCTCTTGGACTAGAACTTACACTACTGACTCTGTGGTTCTTGGGCCTTGGTCTCGGTCTGGAACCACACTGCCAGACCTCCTGGGTCTCCAGCTTACTTGCTGGCTGTGGATCTTAGGACTTCTCAGCCTCCATGATTATGTGAGTGAATTCCTTTTAATAAATATCTAATAAATATAAATCTTATTGGTTATTTCTATGGAGAACATGACTAATGCATCAAGTAAGAATATGCTTGGTATTAGGTGATCCTTGGGCATCCCTTCATACTTGCATGGACTTGATGGTGCAACAGACTGAATATTAGCATCTTCTGAAAATTTGTATGTTAAAATTCTAATCCTCAATCTGATGGTATTAGCATGTGGGGACACTGAGAGGGTGATTAGTAAACTTATAAAAGAGACTCCAAAGAACTTTCTAGTCCTCTTTCTGCCATGTAATACATCAACAAAAAGTCTGCTAGCTATGAACCAGGAAGTAGGTCCTTCCCAGATACCCAGTCTACCAACATTTGGATCTTGGATGTCTCAATCTCCAGAATTGTAAGAAATAAATGTTTCTTGTTTAAGCCATCCAGTTTATGGTATATTTGTTACAGAAGCTCAAATGGACAAAACAGATAGTAAATAGACAATTGTAAAAGCCACAGTTTGAGAAATTATGGTGGTCAAGGATGAAGTGCTAGCTGAGAGCAAAAGGAATCAAAAATGGATAGTAGAGGAGAGAAATAATGTGTTAACAGTTGTGGTCTCAGGACATTTGCAGTTGTAAGGAGCTGTAGATAATCCCACTAGCCATCTTCTTGTCAGTTCCTAATTTAAAAAATACAAATATATGACTCATGGAGAAGCAGCTTTCAGAATGTGTGACTGAAGTACATGGATCCAAGCATGCAGGGGGTGAACTAAAGTTGACACTGTGCTGTGTCACCCAGACCTCCTTGTCTTTCTGGCACAAAGCAAGCATTCCTCTACTGGCATTATTACAGATGACAATATTATTTGAGTCCTTCTTGAGCATTGTTCTCTTCTGAACAGAGACACTTTACCCAAGGTCATATCTACTCTTTGTGGGTAGACCACAGCCAATGACCAGTCAACAGGTGGTTTAAAAGTGCTCAGGTCCTTTCTTCAATTCAGAGCAATTCTAAAGGGTCATCTTAGTTCCAGAGAGCTCTGCAGGATTGAGTGTAGCCTCTGTTAAGACTGCATGGAGTTCAACTTCTCCCTCTCGTGGTTCTGTTTCATTCTTTCCCCACAGACAATGTGAGAACACTGTCCACATAAGCTGCATGCAAACATTCACCTCTGTGTTTGAATCAAAAAAAGCAATGGAACCATCTTTACAAAGATAAATACAAATGACACAAGAGGAAAAATATATTTGCATGCACATCACAATAAAAGGCTATATTCTGTAATACAAAAAACCTGACTACAAACTAATAATTGAGCTGTTTTTAAAAGGACATACTTGACTGGCCTCTAAAAAAGAAGTTCAAATGCTCTTGAACATGAAAAGAAGACTAACATCATACATTTTATAAGGCACATGTTGCATTTATTAGCAAGTAGCAAAACTGAATCTGAAAACTCACTTACAGTGCAGACATAATGTCCTAGAAAATAAAATGTGACAAGTGCTCCAGAAGGGCTGCATCTGGGTGCCCTGAAATTGCAGTGAGTGAGCAATTAATTCTGCTTGATGCAGGAGAGCCTCATAGGTCATTAACCATAAGTGACTAACATATGCATAAAGGGAATTCAGCTAAACTCTCCTTGAAATAATTTATAAGGACTTATCTGTGGGCTTTTTAGTCCCTCTGGTTATAGACTCCTAAGCTCTTATCTCCAGAGACCTGTTATACTAAAAAGGCCTCAAGGTAGGACTGGAATCAAAGTGTCATGATCAACCCTGTGCCTAACAACTAGGACTGGGTGACTTCACCCTCGGTTCATCCCTTTTTTGACCCCAAAGTGTAAATGCCGTGGCCAACAACTGGGTAAGTACCTGAAAATGCTCATGTTCTAGCTGTGGATCTCATTAATCAAGAACATTAAGATGTGTACCTTATTCCTACTAAGATGTTATGATTTTACTTTTTAATACCTGCTTCAATCTCAGGATATGCTCCAGACCTGAAAAAGTCCCAGTAGCACCATCCTAACTACATTAAACATTGCCCTACTTTTAACATGAAGAACTGATAAACAATTTATAAATTTATTAAAAGACTTCCACATAAAAAATCAACTTTATTCTAACTCCATCCTTGGAAGAAAGTCTGTATCCCTTTACTTAAATTGCATGATTTTACAATTTTTCAAACTAGAGAACAAGGCTGAGTAGATCCTTCTGAGATTAAAACAATGTAGTGGAAAATCTTCTGTACCACATTCCGGTTTCCTCTAGACTCTCTAAAAATGTCACACTTCAAAGCAAATAAAATAGCTTTTCCCAAGAGGCATACAATTTTCTAAAGAGAGAGATACTCTTTTTTAGTAGTTCAGAAGTAAGGTTGATAATGAAGAATAAATAATGTGCTAGTTGAAAATTTTCTCATTACTTTTTTTTCTTGATTAATCAGCAAGCAAATACTTGTAATTCTATTGAGGTAACTGATATGGACACAATGTTATTAATAGGATTTGGTGCACAGTGATTTATAACCCATTTTATAATGCTTAAACTGATCAAAAGTTTCAGAATTATTAAAGGGATTACTATATATCAAAACATATCAAGTTATTGGCAACCAATATGAAGTTTGAGAGAAATTTTGGAGATAACATCCAGGAGGAGAATGTCAGAGGACCAAAGAGGAATGGCTTGAAGTGGGGGTGGACACATTGACAGGGAAGGCTGAAGACATAAAGACAGAATATGTGTGTTTAACAGACAAGCCAGGCTGAAGAGGGACCCAGGCAGCAAAACATTCTTCACAAACATCTCACCTAATTCAACAAATGTAACATTACACATACTTGCACGTCATCCATCCTGTAGGGAAACAACTTCCCATAACTCAACTGTATGGTTACACAGACCAATCAAGCAAAACTCTTGCACAATCCCTCTTGGAATAAAACTCCCATTTCTCATTGAACATTTATGTCACCACTTTCAGATGAGCATCAGAAGCAATTTTGCAAGTTGTGAAACACTTAGGTCTAACGGACAGCTGGTAGTTGTAATGGACATAACTGGATTAGGGTGCAGGTAGGCAGATATCACAGTGGTATTAGTCACAGTAGCAACAGTTTATTCATTGCCTTCCTAGAAATGAGAATTTTCCAAACTATAAGGTGAACAAAATACCTTACAGGTGCCAAGTTGTTTTGTGCCCCCACTCTATTTTTATGTGCATTATTTATTATATAGTCCAGAAATTCCTATGCATTTCTTTTTTTTAAATTAAGGTATTATTGATATACACTCTTATGAGGGTTTCACATGAAAAAACAATGTGGTTACTACATTTACCCATATTATCAAGTCCTCACCCATACCCCAATGCAGTCACTGTCCATCAGTGTAGTAAGATGCCACAGATTCACTATTTGCCTTCTCTGTGCTACACTGTCTTCTCCGTGATCCCCCACACCATGTGTACTAAACATAATACCCCTCAATCCCCTTCTACCTCCCTCCCCACCTGCCTTCCCACACACCTCCCTTTTGGTAACGACTAGTCCCTCCTTGGAGTCTGTGAGTCTGCTGCTGTTTTGTTCTTTCAGTTTTGCTTCGTTGTTACATTCCACAAATGAGGGAAATCATTTGGCACTTGTCTTTCTCCACCTGGCTTATTTCACTGAGCATAATGTCCTCCAGCTCCATCCACATCGTTGCAAATGGTAGGATTTGTTTTCTTCTTATGGCTGAATAGTATTCCATTGTGTATATGTACCACATCTTCTTTATCCAATCATCTACTGATGGGCACTTAGGTTGCTTCCATATCTTGGCTATTGTAAAAAGTGCTGCGATAAACATACCTATGCGTTTCTTTTTAATCGTCTGTCTCCTTGACATCTTGCTCCTTTTCAAACTTGGCTGAATTTTTTTAAATTGAAACATACTCAATTATATTGGGTTTAGATGTACAATACAGTGAGTCAACAATTATATGAATTACTAAGTGCTCACCACAATAAATGTAGACATCTAATTTTTAAGGGGAATCAATGTCACTACAATATTTACAGACAACCCAGAAATGGAAGTAGTTTGGGCAGAGGAATATAACTATGGGAAACAGGAGATGGGGCTCAGTCCAGAAAATCTATTCAGAAAGCAGTATAAATACAGGACGTGACAAGAAGTAGTTCAGAAACCTCAGAAACTGAGGGTGGATTACAGTGATTAAAATTTGAGATTGCAGGAGAGAAAACCTGCAGAAATGAAATAGTTGAGAAGAAAGGGACATGAACTTTTAAGAATTCTCCATCATGGCAACAGGATCATACAGTAGAAAAACAGTTGAATATATAAGTGAAAATAAAAATAGTGACCTAATATTACTAAGAAGCTGCCTAAATATCTCAGATCTGAGAGAGATTATCAAACCCCTCATGACAAGGACTGATGGTGAAACCTGAAACTAGTTCTACTGTATTACTGAATTAATTAGAATATGAATTTATGATTTTTCTAAGGGCAGATGATCAAATAATTCTAAATAAGATAATTTTTTCTGAACCTAAGTTCTAACAGGTTATATATTTCTAAGATATATGAAGATTTTATGTAGTGTAGGGAGCCAAATCAGATATATCAACTTCCACTCTCCACCAAACATTATACAATAGACACAATATAAAAATGACAAAGACATTACCACGCTCCTTAGAGAGACAAACAGAGAACACATAATAGACAGATGATAGAGAGGGAGAGAGAGAGATGGGGTGCAGAGTAAAAGCACATAATTCTTTGTTGAAGTTGAACATACAAAAACCTGGCTTCTGGTCTAGAAACGTTATCGGTGGTTGGCAGCTCTGTGCCTGTGTGAGACTCAGCATGCACTACTCGGTGTTTGACCAGAGGCCAGTCTGAGGTGCTATGCAGAGGAGGAATTCTCCTTTACCCTTCAAGGTTCTTCTCACTGGTCTAAGAATCAAACTGGCATGAGACAGACTAACAAAAGAAAAATACCCAAGTTTCATTATGTGTGCACAGAGGCCCAATATGAAATTGACACCCAAAGAAATGACCAGAGCAGGGAGTTTTTATACATATTAGACAGAGACAATAAATCTATGAGAAATTGATAGGACAAAGAAAATTTATGTTTGGGACCTTCAATTAGTAAGGAATTCTAAACAGCATTTAGAGAAGGGCACTAAGTTAGTTTTTTAAAAAAGTAACAAGATTTGTTTATGCAGCCTTCTCAGATCTTCATTTCCTCAGTTTGGTGATAAGATGTCTCTACCTCCTGGTGCAGGAAGGGTAACTTTCACATGGGAGATTTATTTCCTGGTTTCATGGGGTACAGGGGAGGGTCGGGTAGTCCTCTTGCACAGATTGTTTCTCCAATCAATATGCCAAAATGGCACATTTTGGGGCAGCCTACCCTTGGACCCTATGGTACTCTGCTTGGGACATGAAGCTTTCAACCCACATGTGACAACAGCTATCATCATAGCCCAAGGCTGTGACAAACTAGGTCTTGAGATCACTGGGGAAAAGAAATGGGCAAAACTGTACTGAGCTCTCCTTGGAAACAAGATCCCTTAACCATAAAGACTTGGTACAATTGATACACTTCAGGAGTGAGGAAAAGCCACCTACCACATGTAATCATGGGGCATGAACAAAATAAATCACCAATCAAGGAAATTTCCACTCAAAATGAGACTACAAGCAAAATTCAAAACAAATTTGAAGATTAACACCGAGAAAGAAGTTCTACAATTTCAATAGTAAGTATACTCACTAACGAGAAAATAAAAGGTAAAGCAACTTAAAAGGAATTTTGAAGTAGACATGGTTAAGGTCCTCAAATTTAAAGGCAGCATAATAACAATAAAATGAATGAAGAATCATGTGGGGATTGATAGATATAAGTTGAAACTGAACGTTATTAAAATAACCTTCATTAGAAAAGAAAAATAGAGTAATTGAAATACAACCCAATAGTTGGAATACATTTGAGACCAGATATGAATGACAGAATTAGTAAGTGAGAAGGCAGCGCTAAGGAATGCACCAAAATGCAACAGAGACAGATGAGGAGTTTGTAGATATGAAGCAAACTAACTGGGAAGTTGGACTGAGAAGGTTCAAAATTTTCCAACTAGATATATTGCTGAATAGGCAATGTTGAAAGTTATAATGGCAGAGATAATCAAAAGTAAAGAAATAGATTTTTTGGTTGAAAATACTGTGTCGGGCAAAATAAGTTAATGATGAGTTATCATTAAGAAAAATAGAAAAATAATAGAGAATAAATGATCCTATAAATAATAGCAATAGCATCATAAGGATTCTAAAAATAAATCTTACAAAATATGTAAAATCTTCTATGGAGAAAACTGAGTATTTTTGAGAGACATACAAGAGGATGGGAAAAAGGAAAATAAAATAGATATTTACATTAAAGGACATTATATAAAAATATATTACTTGTCTCTGAAGTTTATGTTGATTCTTTGACATTTAAAAAAATTGTTAACAGTACATAGATTTATTTACATTAAAAAAATATAAACAACTAAAAAGTCTCCAGTTCTTGAACTGGAAAATAAGGACCTGTATCATTTTCTTAGTTGACCGATCAGTCCTTGCAAAGAATTTATATCTTTAATAATCTGTATTTGTTGTAAGATTCAACTTTGATATCAATTTGTTTTCCTCTTATCTCAGTATTCATTTTTTTGCTGGTTATTGATGTTTACTTCTCTACTTCTCTATTTTTCTTCATTTAGATTTGTATCTAAGAATTATGCATATATCACTTGGGTTCACAAGCCTTCAATGATCGCAAAAGAATAGAGTCAAGCATTTGAGTCCGTCTACGTGCAGAAAGCCTCTCCTGAGCCTCTCATCTTGATTCCCTACCTGGCATGTCCACTTTCAACAGTTCCGAAGTGGCAATCTCTACCTTCTTCCTGATTGGGATCCCAGGGTTGGAACATGCTCACATTTGGGTCTCCATCCCCATTTGCCTCACATATCTCATTGCCATCCTGGGGAACTCTACCATTTTGTTTTTTATAAAAACAGAGCCTTCTCTGCATGAACCCATGTATTACTTTCTTTCCATGTTGGCCCTCTCTGACCTGGGATTGTCTCTCTCCTCTCTCCCTACCATGCTAAGGATATTCTTGTTCAATGCTCCAGAAATTTCCCCTGATGCCTGTATCACTCAAGAGTTTTTCATTCATGGATTCTCAGCTATGGAGTCATCAGTACTTCTCATCATGTCTTTTGATCGCTTTATTGCCATCTGCAATCCTTTGAGATACACCTCCATCCTGTCTAGTGCCAGAGTCACCAAAATTGGGCTTGCTTTTTCTCTCAAAAATGTTTTGTTGATCCTCCCTTTCCCTGTCACTCTAAAATATCTAAAATACTGTAAGAAGAATCTCCTTTCCCACTCCTACTGCCTCCATCAGGATGTCATGAAGCTGGCCTGTTCTGACAACAGGGTCAATGTCATCTATGGCTTATTTGTGGCTCTCACAGGTATCCTAGACTTAACATTTATTTTTGTGTCCTACGTGTTGATACTGAAAGCAGTGTTGAGCATAGCATCACAGAGGGAAAGGCGTAAGGTCCTCAATACATGCATTTCCCACATCTGTGCTGTGCTCATTTTCTATGTGCCCATTATGTCCCTAGCTGTTATTTACCGGTCTGCCAAGCACAGTTCCCCAATCATTAGGATCCTCATGGCTGATGTGTTCCTTTTGGTACCTCCATTGATGAACCCCATTGTATACTGTGTGAAGAGCCAGCAGATAAGAAATTTGGTCTTAGGAAAGCTGTGTCAGAAACACGGTTGACAGGGATTCTGAACTACAGTGAAAACCCAATCAGTAAATGACATAGAACAAGCAGAATGAATCAATAAGGAATCATACCATATATTATGATGATATCATCTCTCAATATGTTTATTAACATTAAAGAATCAGCCTTGCAGATTTGTTGGTTTAGGATTTAGGATTTTGGATTAGAGCTTTTACAGAAACATAAAATATCTATGGTTCCACTTTCACCCAGCTTGCTTTATTAGCCTTATGAACACGACATATGCTTGATATGTTCATCATGTTTAAAGTATTATTCTGTGTGTTTATTTGAAAATTAACAGTATACATTTATATGACAACTGGATAGTGATCAGAAGTGACAGAAGATTGCCTCTTCTTTAAAAATATCCCTCTTCAACACATAGTTTTCCCTTTTATTCAACTTAAGTTGAAATGGGCAGTGACTTGCACACATGGATCCAATGTCACAAATATGTACACAGGCAGAGGGTACAAAATGGCACAAATTTCATTCATTCATTCATTTCAATATTTCCTTCTGAGCTTTAAATATCACTTTATAAGTTATGCATGGCAGAAAGTTTCCTTCTTACATGTTTCTATGGGAGTTCTACCTAATGCCATAACTCATTATCCTGTATGTGATTTGTCTCTCTCCCGTGTGCAAGAATGTAAATCCAGCTGAAGACTAATTCACAAAAAAAAAAAATTTGTGAAAAAGATAAAAACACAAAGTTGTAATTTTTTTTAATGCAGAGGTAAAATGAACATCCATTAACCATCTTATTTAACTCATTTTAATGACAGAACCTTGCAAATGATACAACCAATTCAAAGGGACTCCATATAAAAGATACATTTCTAGATAGGAATGTTGACCTTAATTTGCAAATGAATATAAATATGGCTTCTTCCACCTTGTGGGACACATACTAGTTGGAAGGAATTTATATGCATGATTACTACCACCATGAGTTACTTTGATTGCTACTAGTATCTGCAACTTAACAGAGTTGGAAAACAGCTGAAAAGCTGTGAAAACACAGAATCCCCACATAATCAGAATCAGATAATCCACGAGGGTATACTCTAAACAATTCATAGTTTTTTACTGGGCACACACTTTTCCCTATAGTGTGCCCCATTTTAATAGAATAAAATTTCAAAGAAGGATTATTCTTGCCCACAAGATAAACCTAACCTTGTTAGATTTGACCTCATTATTTACACATGCAGAAAAAATGTTAATTTATCAGATGGATCTTCTTAAGTTTGTAATACTGGAGATTTCCATAGAGAATCTCAGACTGGATGTTTAAAAGCTGCCATTATATGCTATATCTAAGATAGGGAGCTATAACTAAGTACCTGTCTCCATCCTTCAAGCACCTATATATTTTGGCAATATTTTCTTTTCTCAAACTCTTCCCCAAACCCCAGTATTTGGCTTACTGTGGAAATCACTTCCTACTACCTCTAAGGGCTAGACTGTAAGCCAAGTAACAGGCTAATTTACATAGGATGGTTTTGTCAGCACAAACTCTATAAAGTTAGCTTTAGTTCCTTAAAAGCAACCAGTCATACTTGATTAAATGAGCAACATTCTCAAATATGACATTCTAGGAAAGGCCCTGGCTACATAACCAATTTTTCAAATTGCATCCTGGTTTAAAAGAGGACAGGTTCTTATTATACATATGCAAATAACATGCCATGAAAAGCAAAGATACTCGAGAGTTTCTGAACTCTGAGGATTCGATGAGAATCAGCTATAACAAAAATGTTTCATTTCAGTTAACAAAATCAGAGTCTACTAGATAATTATGAGTTGGAAATAGCTTGACAGAAAAAGAAAAGCCTCATTATATATTCAGAAAACAGGACATAAAACATCAACAATATTCTAAACATGTACAATGAAATATTACTAATCCATTCATTCAGTCCTATGCAATTAGGTTTTATTCCACTGGATCTAGGGTTGTCTCCTGAAGCTAGCTAGCTATCTATTGACTAAAAAGAGTCTTGGAAATCGCTACTAAGCCCACTGGAATAATGTGAAAATTACCCAAGAGTCTGTTCTTTGAAGTTTAATGTACTTGGTGTAGTCCTTCACCATGGACTGTAGCAGAGTCCTTCTCTGTTGAAGACAAAACTCCAGCCTGTTGCTTGTTGTAGAAACTTCATGAATGTATCAGTCAAACAAAAACTATCTATTATTTTAGGATCATTAAGCTAACGTAAGAGAGGATAAATTTATCTTAAAATGGCCATTGTCAATTTATTATTTTTACCATTCAAATGTAAGAAGTTTACTGGTAATTGATTAAAAATTATGTAACTGACAAGTAAATTTGGTTGTTTCCTTGGCATGCAAAACAAGATAATAAAGCTATTACCAAAAAAAGAAGTTTTAAACAAAATGTCTCTAATGGTAATGATATAGCCTATATTTAAGGACAGTGAATATTACATCTGATATATAAAAATGAATAAGCATAATTTTTACAGTGGAAACAATATTGATATATAACAATAGCCACACTATTGTTATATATCAATATACACACTTAATATACAATATACATAATATACAAGAAAATACCAACCCTGTACCAACTATATATAGTAAAGTAGTTCAGTGACTCTGTAGTAGAAATCTAGATTTTATAAAACTGCATCATGAGGTCTGACATGTATCCCTGTTTGAAAACTACTGGCCTTGAAGATGTTAGATGAAAATTAATTTTCAAAACCTTCTCAATTTGTATAAGGAAACACCTACAAGTTTAAAGGAATAAAATCTAGAGGAGGAGGCAGACACATAAAGGCATAGATATCATACACCATGAAACTGCTCTCAGATGCTTCACACAGTGCTCTCCCTGGTAGAACAGAAGAGCCTAATTCTGCCTGAGGGAGCAGAAGAGGCCTGAGGAGTGTTTTCCTCAAAGGATTGATTCTTCCCATTTGCAGGAGGCTGGGTGAGTCTCCTTGGCTCCATCCCCTTTGAGGGCTCACCTACAGGGAATTTCCTCTTCCTCCAGCCTGCTGAGCTGGAATTTACAGAGCTTTCTGGACCTTTGGGAAAGCATCAGGGAGGGCTAGATTCTACAGGTCAGGATGAATTGTTGTGCCTACATAGCAGTTAAACTGATAACTGCATGCCACCTCCAGTTCCTTTTTACAATGATATGTGGTCCAGTGACCTACTACCAACTTACTGGTAAGTTTCCAGATGTTCACAGCTACCTTTGCACCAGCTCAAGCAAGCACTTTTCATATTAGCTGTCTGACGTGATTTTCCAGTGATTAGGATGGATTTTAATAGCCTAACCCTATAAAAAGTCCAACATTTTCTGTAGAAACATTGGTGGAGGTTCATAGTCCTGGGAACTCATGAAAACCAAGTAGGCTCTAGGCCAGAGTTACCATCTGATCATAGAAAGAAATTCAAAGCCAGATATCTGGAACCAGCTCTGGGGTGGTGTGTTCCAAGGATAAAATATTGCCTTACATGTTACTCTAAGTTATTCCTAGGTACACATATGTGAGAGTATGGATTCGCAGTGCGCATCAGTCCAAAGAAAAAGACGACCACTTGGAGTTTCTGTCTCCATTGTCTTTTCTAACTTAGCATCCTTCTAACTAGTTTTATATCTTTATATTTTCCTTTCTTGATAAACAAGAAAGCAATATATTGTTCAAACAAAAAGCTATCTATAAGCTCATGGATTTTAATAAATCATGTAGGGGTGGATTTGTTCAAATTTTAAATGCAATTAGCAGGCAGAAAGAAAATCATATCATGAGTAATTGATTGATTGGCTATTCCATTCATGTTTGGAAGGCACTCGCCACAAGTATCAAATGTGTACACAGCGGTTACGAAGTGCCTTTGTGCCAGGTGCCAGATTTGTCTTCCCATAATGTTGTTTTAGTATTTCTATCTTCTCTCAAGAAAATCAGAATGACCCCCACTTCCCAAAGTCAGATACCTTGCAAGACATGCAAAGCCCTGCCCTGTCCCCTGCCAGGAACACACACTTCCAGCCTCTTAGACAGCCCTACTCCCCAACTTAAGTCCTCTTACTACCAGGTGGATTAATTAGCCCCTAAACACACACACAATAATGCTTCCAGGTTACATGTTATTACTTCAGAAGATGATTTGAAATGCAAGAGTATAGTGATCTATGCAAAGTAATCATTTCTTTCAAGGATGCATATTTTTTATGTAATAGTGTAATATTTTTATTTTAAATATGGAACCTTAGACAGATTTGATATTTTGAATATTATAAAACTTGAGCAGCACCCGTGGTTTCTCCTACTTGGCATGCCAGTTGTTGATTCTTGTTGCTGTTGTTTGCTTGTTTGTTTTAGCCCTGCCTACCACATGAAATGAATCCACAAACTTCAGATCAAGAGCTAATTCAGTAATGAGAGTAATAGTAGCTCAGTTCATAGTGTGCTTTTGTTGATAATGTGGCCGCCTTCCCTCTTGCCTCTAGCCTCCTATACAACCATATATCATTTTGATATACACTGATATTCACTGAATGAATGAAAAGTTGTACCCTCAACTTGGGGGGTCTCTATAAATGATTACATTGTGATCATTATGATAAGTGCTTAGTCCCATATTTTTTCTATTTTCTGTTCACTTCACAGAAAATATCCACATTGTTTTCATAATGGGAGTCAAAAATTCCTTTTTAGGAAGGCAGCATTTCTCTTCATCTAAAACTCTTATGCCCTTACCAAATCATAGGGTGTATTCTACAATAAGTGTGAATTTTAAACTCCCAATCTGTGAACCCATTATGATTATAAAAAGCATTGTATTTAGCACCACAGAGAATATATGTAATCAAACACATGTAAAATATTAAGTGTGCTTCTACTATAACTTCCCAATACTATAAATTTTCCAGGTAATTTATAAAATCCTTAATTGGACAACTACAAATACATGTTTCTGTTCTGCTCTAGTTCAGATACGCTTCTCTAACATAACAATAAGTAGGAATTATGGGGTTTCATGAAAAAAAAAACTATTGTTTATTGTAACTTCTCCTGTCATTTTTTGACTTTTGTAATGTAGGCCATCCATTCCTGGATGTTTCATATAGACTGGGACAGTACCAGACATTTCAGGTAATATTTAGGTAAGAGAAGTATTTATGGCAATTTAACTTAAAAAATACAACTAATAATTAAAATGTTTAATGAACTGCTTCCGTCCTCAGTCAAAAGTAAGGTTTCTCCCTTTTCCCAGGTCAAGGTGAGTTGCAAATAGCACTTTCTCCAGGGGGAAGAGATGATGTTCGTCCTCGTAACCCTCTCTCCCTCACCACTTCTCCCTCTGTCCATCTGACGATCTTTCAGATGCTGGAGTACAGGAATAGAGGGGAAAAAATTGGAGACAGGAGTTTTTATTTGACTAGCCTTGTTAAAAAACAGCTTCAGGCTTCCCATGTCTGGGCTATTTAAGGCTACCTCTTTCTCCCGGGTACCTCTGCAACCTTCATAGACTCTTCTGGGGGATCTCTCACTGCCACTTTGAGGTTTTAGTTGACCATCTTAATTCCTCAACTCATGTCCTTACTGCCTCAGAAGGATCTTTTCAAAATGACCCCAGGTTGGCATTCCTACTTCATATATCATATTTGGCACCTAAAGTCATGTACCTTTGAACCTAAAGTGGTTGGCTAGCCATCTCAATTATCCTCAAATTTCCCTAGACATTATTCAGACTAGTCTACTTTGTACCCCAGTTACAGGGATGAAATACCAAGTATTCAGGTAACTATTCCTAAAAAGTGCTATTTTCATATTGCAAATTTTACATTTAAAAGAATAATAAAGGTAAGTATTTTAGAGAAACTTATATAACAGCTTTACTGAGACTTAATTCGCATAGCATGAAGTGCAAATTTTTTAACTGAAGAGTAGTTGCATACAGCTATTAGTTTCAGGTGTACAATATACTGATTCAATAATTACATACAAAATGCTCACCATGTAAGCATAGTTACCATCAGTCACCATACTGTTGACTATATTCCCTATTCTGTACTTTGATATCCATGACTTATTTTTTTTATTGAAAATTTGCAGCTCTTTATTCCCTTCACCTATTCAGTTTTCAATTATGCAGTTCAATGGGCTTTAGTACATTCATAGAACTCTACAACTGTCATTGGTATTTTCAAAAACCCAAGAAGAAATCCCTTATCCACTATTCGTCACTACCACTTGACCCTTCACCTTGAAAGGTCAAGGCCCCTGCAAACTACTAATATACTTTGTGTTTCTATGAACGACTATTCTGAACGTCACATACACAGGAAATAAGACAATACGTGGTCTTTTGTGACTGTCTTCTTACATGTAGCATAATGTTGCCAAGGATTGTGCCTGCTGTAACATGTCTCAGAACTTCATTTTTATAGCCAAATAATACTCCATGGCATGAATGAAGAACAGTTTGTTTATTCATGCATCAGTTGATGGAAAATTGGGCTGTGTATGAGGCTTGGTTTTGTTTTTAAAATATATATCTTTACTTCTCTTAGAAGTATATCTAAGTGTGGAATTTCTGGGTAATATGGAAACTCTATGCTTAACACTTTGAGAGACTGCCAAGCTGCTTCCCAAGGTTGGCACACAATGTTATGAATCCACCAGCAATGTACAAAGGTTCAACTTTCTTTAAATCCTTGCCAACATTTGTTATTGTTTGTTCTTTTGATATTTATTAGACAGCCAATCAGTACAAAATGTTATCTCATTGTGGTTTTGACCTACATTTCCCCAATGATCTTTTACATCTTCATAAGGTGTTGTAAGGATTCTTTCTAAATTCTGGATGCACATCCAGATATATGATTTGCAAATATTTTCTCTCATTCAGTGGGTTGTGTGTTGCCTCACTTGATGGTATCCTTGAAACACAATTTTTTTAAACTTCAGTTTCTGATTTTTTTCCTCTTTTTCTTTGTATTTTTGGTGCCATAAAAAGCCATTTCTTAACACAAGTTCACGAAGGTTTACCATGTTTCCTTCAAATACTTTCACAATTTTAGGTTTGTTATATAAGTTTATATTATATTTTGACATAGTTTCTTTCTCTATGGGATGAGGTAGGAGTCCAAATACATTAATTTGAATATCAATATCAAACTTTCCTATCATAATTTTGAAAAGAATATGACAAAGGCCAAATATTAAGCAATTGCAAATGTAGTGTGATGTTCTTGATTTGAACCTACATACAGTTTACACATTATA